GTAAACTCAGAGGTCCCTGCAAACCACTCTTGCATCGAATCCAGAAGGTTGAAGACGTCCTTCTGGTTCCCTCCAAGGTGATATTCTCTGGAAAATGGTGTTCAAACACCTCTTATGGGATATAAAGATTCAGCCAAGTTTTTCCCAGACTGATCCTAAAGATATAAATATTAGACTGTTTGGAAAATAGTTGCTGTTGCATACTAGAACTCGAATCTCACATACTTTAACTGACATGTTCAATTTGATTCTCCAAATGGTGCAATAAGCGAGATGCTGTGTCCCCCAGGTTCATAGGAGCTCAGCATTGCTTAAGAGCACATCGCTAGCGAGTGGACAAGCTGGAACTAGAATGCAAACTGGTGGTTTTCCGCCAGCACTGAGTCTCTCCCCTGCCACCCCTCACGTCCCTCATTCAGTCCATCAGGAAGCCTGATGGACTTGACCCTTGAAACACACCCAGTGCCTGACTACTTCTGCCACCGCTCTAACCTGAGCCACCTGGACAGTCTAGCACCTCCCTGTCTGGCCTTCCCACTCCTGTCCTTGCCTGAGTTTGCTCACAGTGGCAAAACCTGATCATTTCACTCCTTTGCTTCAGATTCATGCAGGGGCTTCTCATCTTTTTCAGAGGAAAGCCATGATTCTTAGGACCCTGATTTCAAACTTCTACATGATCTTGCACCATCCCACTGCTTGTCTGGCCTCCTTGCAGTTCCTGGGGCACCAAGAGCACACTCTCACCCCACCTCAGGGCCTTTGCACTGCTCTCCCCCTCAGTCTAGAAGACTCTTCCCCCGGGTATCCTTTTTGGCTGGCTTCCCTCCCTCCTTTCAGATCTTTGTGTGTATTTCACAGCCTCCAAGAGGTCTCCCAACTCCATCACCTGCTTCCACCACCAATGACCTTTGCCCAGGTTTAGGTTTGTTACTTTTTATTACTGCCTGCCAATGTTATATATACTTATTATTATTCATTTAAGGTCTAGGTCCCCTTACTAAAATACAAGCTCTGTAAAGTTAGGAACTCTTTGTTTTTCTGCACAAATATATTCTGAGTGTCTACACATTGTTCTAGTGTGGGCTCAGGAAATAGTTTCTTATTAAATGAATTGCTTTTTGTGTGATTACAGTTTTTCCTTTTGTTCTTGACTGATAATGTATAAATGGAGGTACACCATTGGTAAGACCTTAGCCAGAATTTAACAAGAATTTTTTATTTTCAGAGCAGAGTATTTCGAACACCTTCATTTTGGGCTTAGTGCTAAGTCTACACGTATCATTATCAAGGGGCCTTTTTTAAAATTGTCGTACGGCAGAGATCTCTGTACCATCAGGACGATTCCTTTTTCCTAGCACTTTCTACCCATGAGATAATCCAGGGCCTTTTTTTTTGGAAAGGGTATGTGTAAAATCAGTCAGATTTTCTGGAGGACTTCAGATCCTGAAATGGTAGATGAATACACAGATTTTCAAAAGTAAAGTTTCCTCCTATGCCTTACAGGAACCCCAGCTTCTGCTCTAAGAGTAAGTACTGGTTGCACTGCTCACAAAAGGTAGATTAGACACCATCTCCAGAGCTCCATGTCATAGGCATAAAGTGAGGCGCCTCGCTGTGGATCGTTGCAGTCATTTTTAAGCATATTTAGTGTGCAGTCATTATATGCGAAATGCCCTACCATGGGAAGTTCCAGGGCCCAGTGTTTGATTCTTGAATGTTTGCCGTGCAGCTCTGGGCATCCTTTGCACGACCCCGCGGCATTAAGTTGGAGGGGCCGTTCTCCAGCTGTTGTGTGAAGGCAGATACCTAAGCTGTCTACTCCAAGGAGTGAGAAGGAAAAGCTACAAAGTTGTCCCCAGGGATTTTTTTTAATAGGCTAAGCAAGGACAAAGCATCAATAGTGTTTCCTTGATGGCCGAACCAATTATTTTCAGTTTGGGATTCTTTATTGGTAAACCAGGAAATTTGCCCAAGTCTGTAGCAGTGAAGGTCAGGTTGTTTCTGAGTAAGCAAAATTTGTATATGGCAACTTGTAGAGCTCAAAGAACTTTAAAAATTTGCTCTGTCCAAAATACTTCCTGTAAAAGTCTGAGTATTTTCTTGACCTGATCCCCAGGATGTTTTCCCAAGTAAGCAGAGAAAAGAATTCATTCTTGTTTCTTGGGCTTGTAATAAACAATTTAAGGATTCACCTAGATGACTTATTATGTAAAAGATCTTTCTTTACTTTTATATAGCTTTTAATATTATTTTTACCGGAATTTTTTTTTTTTTTTTGTACCAGAGATCAAACTCGGGACCTTGAACTTGCAAGGCAGATGGTGGAACCACTGAGCTTAATTCCCAGCCCCTAATATTGTCTTTAATTTTTTGTGGCAAGTAGCTAAATTATACACTTGCCCTTATTTAGATAAATGACCTCACTCAAGCTTGAGAATGTCTAAACTTTCGGCTTAAACTCTCACATTGCCAATTTCCTGATGAGTTTAATTTTCTCATTGGTAACAATGGGAAGGGCCCCAGTACTGCTCTTCGTTGCTGGCCACGTAAAGTGTTATTTTGCTGATTCGTTCAGTAACTCTGCACAGTGCTCCTGCTGTGTGTGTGCCAGGTGTTGTTCCAAGCATTGAGGACACAGTGGTGACCTTGTGTCTTCATGGAGGTCATATTCTAGCACTTGATACCATGTAGTGATTGGGTTTTGTTTCCGTACCATTTTGCCTCCTTCCTACCACTGCTTCACGCATTTCTAGGGTTTGGACCTATCCTGAATTTCTTGCAGTTCCCCAAAAGCCATGTTCTTTTATGTCTTTTTTTCTTTTCTCCTATTCCCATATTTGTTTACCCTGGCAAACTCCACCCCTTTTAGGACTTAGCTCAGAAGCTGTTTCATCTCAGAGTCCCTTCCATCTATGAGGCCATGTGGAAACCCATGGTAGGAAGAAATAAATTCCCTTTCCAGAGGAGAATTTACATTTCCTACTTGGGAAAATAGAATTCTGTTGGAGCCCCTGTGGGTGCATCTCTTATCCCCATCCCCAGAGCCAGAGGATTCTCCAGATTGTGCCCACTGTGGAGCTGAGGGATACATTAGCCTGTGGCACCATCATGTGGTTCAGTCAGGCAGTGCAGCTTCTCCCACAAGATCAAAATAATTGGATTGGTGCCATATGCACATTACGGGATGGAGGATGGAAAGACGGAAGAAAGGAACAAAGACTTGTAGTGCAATTGAAAGGCAGAATTATTAGACCATCTTTCTCTTGAGAGGCTCAAAACTTTATAATACCTTTAGCAGGCTTCTAATGTATATGGGATTTTTTTTTTAAATTTAGCCTTCTTGTAACCTATAAACCTGAAGACTTAGAGATAAGGTTTGCTGCTATTCCTTCATTATTTGTGATCAGAGTATGTGTCTTTATTCTGTTTTACCCTGTTTGCTTCTCAGCTTTGTTTGATGAATACACTTTGAGCTACCCATTAAACTCTGCATTTCATAATTCTGTCAGTCTGAACTATTTTTTTGGTCTGTGTAACCTTACAGCAAATTAGTTAAAAGTAAAGACTTTGGCTAAAAAAGAATTTGTTCATTAAGTGAGGGATAAATGTTATAGTGGCAATCCCAATAAACAAATTCACAAATCCAAAAGTTACATAACCAAAGTTGGCCCAGGAATTGAAGTGCTCTAGTGAAGTTAGTTTATTTAGTGTGAGTGTGTAGCTACAGTAACCAGAAAAAGAGAAATTCGGAAATGACAGCCGTCTGACCCTTGGGCTCATGGCTCTGAACTGGGCTGGAGTTTCAGCTGACTTGTTAAGGAATGGTGGGTTGCAATCCTTGATTCATACTTGGAAGTAGGAAAGCTACAAAATTACCAAAGTATGCATAGACACAAAAGCCCCAAATGTCCTGGATCCATTCCTTCCAGGTGTTAGCAAAAAGGAAACCCACAGTATGGAGCAGATCTCACCTTTACTTGTAGGTGGAAAATTTCAACTTTGACCGCCGTGCGTTGGAACATGTTGTCTTCTTTAATACACGTCACTGTAATTTATACCCTTTCCTTTCACACCTTTGAGATGAACAGAACATGTTCCCGCATTGGTGAACTACCAAACTGATTAAAGTATTACGCATCACAGATGGGGATTTAGCTCAGTGGTGCCGCCTCCTGCCTTGGAAGCCCAAGGTCCTGAGTTTGATCCCTGGTACCAAAAATAAAAAGGTATTACACTTCACAGGACTTACCATGACTTGTGACTCATCGCAACAGGTTTTCCTTATATTTTGTGTTGAGTCTTGTCCAGCATATAGAGCAACGAAGGCCTTTATGTCTGTGACATTCCCCCTAGCAGGTCACCTTCAGCTGTGTTCTCTCAGATGTCTTAATTGTCCCAGTTTCTATATAGTTACGCTATCTTTTCCCAAAACAGGACAGAAAGAGGTGGTCCTATTTTCTCAGTAGCAAAGTTTATAAAACTCAGGATGATAAGAAAGAAGAAAAGTGGTAACCTAAGCTAAGAAAATGAAATATCTACTTTAGCTGGACTAACAATGATAGAAAAAGCTTAGTCAGAAATTATAGAGAAAATTAGTATCTCTTTATGAAGGTAAAATGACAGAAATCTCACACTTGATGGTCCTGTAACCATGATCCATATAGTCAGGGAAGAAAGAGTTTCCTGTCTTAAATCTCTGCTGTTTGGGTTGTGGTTCAAAGTCTTCTTTTTAAAGGTTCCAAAAGGTATGTTTCTGCTTATTTTTACTATTTTCTTTATAGTCTCAAATTCTGCTTACTTGATAAAACTGACTCGTTATAATTTGTTGGATGTGTTCTACCAAGTTGGCTTTGGGTAGCTGCTTCTGTTTTCTTCTGTAAGATACAGACTTTAGCTTTTCTTAGAGTTTCTACCATAACCAGCAGTCAGTGAAGCTCACTATTTATTCTGATTTTGTGGCCTTCCTAATCACCTCTTGGGGGGGGGTGTCATCTTTCTAGAGTGTCCTGCCATACTACGTTGCTACGAAATTGTCTAAAATCCGAAAGCCAACTCTGGATAAGCCCTCTCCAGACACATTTGTGAAGTCTGCACTTAATACAGTAGGCCTGACGTCTCGCACCTGTGGATACCTAGTCCATTCTCTTGTGGTATGTAGATTTCTAAGTCCCAAATCAGTGCTTCCCAGTTTGGGATTTTCTTTCCCATTGTGTCACAAATAATTTATGATATGTACTGACTCCATACATTGTCTAGGCTTACAAAACCTTTGTGTTTTATTTTCAATTATATACCCAAGAACTTTGAAATGTGCCTATGAATAAAGTAGCAGTAGGGCCAGGGATTTAGCTCTGGTTCTGCCACCTGCCTCACAAGTGGAAGGTCCTGAGTTCGATTCCCGGTACTAAAAAAAAAGTGTAGTAAAATATAAGACAGACACTTTAACCCAAATTGTGGGCTATAATTAAGCATCTTCCCCGTGTCTTTCCCCAGGCCTCATTCACCTCAGTCTTGCCTTCTTGGATTTACCTTAAAATAGCCATGAATTTGAACAAGGCTGTGCGAGCTAAGTTTTTGAAGAAAAGCAAAAAGAATTAAGCATCCATACCTGCACAAGTAACTTGGCCAGATGCTCCTGCCCTGCAAGGTGCCCCACCAGTCCCCAAAACATGGTTGTCATGTCAACAGTGAACAGATGTAGTTCAGCACCCTCATCACTGGGGAGAAAACAAAAGCTGCTCTGAGGAGTTCCTGACATAATCTGATACCACCCAGAAAAAACTTGAAGAGTAACAGTAACGCTCATATCAACTAACACTAATGCAATCAAGAACTAATATTACCAAGAACAACTTCAAGGAGAGAAACACAGTTAGAACAAATCGCAGAATGACAAGAGACGGGCATAAAATTCAACAGTTTTCATCTGGTCCAGGATGCTAGTGATCATTATATTTGCATTTTGTCAGAAATATATTAGAAAATGTAATGGCTAGGCACTCTTTTTTTTTTTAACACTTTGATGGGATGGGGATTCATTGATTCACTTATGGGCAGACACACTGCAATTTACGTAGGTCATAAGATTTTCTAAATACATGATCAGTTTGTACATTTATATGGAGCTCTTCTTTTTCAAAAGTAGCTGATGACATGAAAACATGTGAAAGAAAAGTTACTTCTCACCAAAATGTATGCTTTCTTGTAACATGCATTATTTCTCTTTGATTTAAATGTGTAGTACGATTGAATTACAAAGGTAAATGGGCCAAATGTACATTGAAAATGGCAGCTTCCTTTGGTGCCGCTGAAACCCTGAACCAGGAGACGACCAGGAGCTTCTTCATTTCTGCTTCGCTAATGCTGCTCACGAATATAACATAGACTGCTTCTGTAATAGTAGGAGTATTAGGATTGGTTCTAATAAAAAGGATGTGACAATGGTGTTGGATAAAAGTGTGTTTTTTTAATGCTCTAAACTAAGGCCACAATGACACTGGATGAATGTAAGTTAAGCCTGATGTCATGGTTCATAAATCTGTTCAAGGATGTCACCAAGGAAGAGTTCAGGACTGGGAAATACATAACTTAGCAGTAGAACTTTGCCTAGGCCATTGCCGATTCTGGTTTGAAGCACCAGTAAATTTACCCCCCCAAAAAAGAAAAAAAATTTAATTGGGGTGTCTAAGTGATTCCATTTGTTAATTTTGCTAGCTAAGGACATAACAAAACAAAACAACAATAAAAAACAAGTTACCATCTGTTAATCGGAATCATTATGTAAAAGAGAAGATATTTTAGCACCCAAAAGGCAGGAAGAACATGATCTCAGAACAAAGGACCATCATTTAAATTGATTAAATTTAGCTTTATGAGAAATAATAACATCGACCTCTTTTCCTCTCCATTTGACCTGGACATTATTTCATATGCTTTCACACCTTAATAGCTGATTGGTTGGCTGTGGTGGTTTTTGTGAAGAGATGGGTAGACAAGGAAGGGATTGTTTTTGCAAGCCAACTACACTGCAGGGTACAAAATACTTTTTCTGCTATCCCAATTAGAAAATAGTTGTAATTCTGGCTAGCAAAGCCCTTGGCAATTCCAGACCTGTGTTACAGCTTTGGCTGCTCTGGCTCAGCGAATATATTCCATTGTGTTGAGCACTTCGTTTGGGGATGATCACATGGAACTGTCACCTTTAAGACACATAAAAATGTATAATAAAAGAAGAAATATGTTTGAAGCCATTATAATAGTGAAATGCATTTTTTACAGTTAAAGGAGTTAAAGTTTAGGGGCTGGGGATTTAGCTCAGTGGTGCCACACCTGCCTCACAAATGCAGGGTCCTGAGTTCAATCCACAGTACTGCAGAAAGAGAAGTTAAGGTTTATGTAGATTTATGAAGTTAAGCTTCCCGTTGACTTTGACCTGAGTTTCTCTGATGAGTGTTAGGTAGGACTTGAGCACTAAAATAGTGAAGTGGAAGGTAGTATTAATACGTGAGTAGAGTTAACTTGCTCGCTATTTAGAAAGCTATCTTTTATTTTTCATTATCCTTTTGCATGAAGATGCAAAATATTGCCCCTTAGGCGCTGGAGGAACATTAGAGAAAGTTCTACAACAGTGATTCCCACCATCTGATTAGCTGTTATGCAGTCTGACATGCACTTGGAATAAATAATAGCTAAAGGTGATGCTGTTGGTTCCCACTTTGCAGATATTCTTTCCCTGAAGAGATGAAGCTAAGCTATCACCTGATACTTATTTAGACAAGGGAGATCTGAACCCTGAAACATTTATAGTTAAATGGATGCACCTTGAGACCATACTCAAGTGAAATAAATCGGACACGCATGTTTAAATATCATGTTGTTTCTCTGGTGTGGGAAACTGAAAGCGGAAAGGAGGATTAAAATGTATAATAGATGTTGGGAAGTGGGAAGAAAAACTTCAAATGAGAAGGGGAATAAGGGAGGAGGAGGGGGAAAGGAAAGAAGGGACAGGAAAAAATGGAAACAATTTGTATATAAGGAGGGGAAGAAGGGTCAAGGGATGAAAATAAGACAAGATATACCACGTACAGGTACAGATTCCTTATGAACGTTACCGTTGTATCTAAAATGTCCCAATAAATATTTCGCTTAAAAAAATGAATTTTATATAGAATGAACATCGATACCTATATAAATGGTGCTGATTCACATGTAAAAGATTTGTGGTCATAATAGCTTATGGATAACAAGATGAAATTCAGTGCTGTTCTCAGCTTTGTTGGTACCAATAATGGCCTGGATTTCAGTGGTCCTGCATTCGGCTACGGTGTCTAGTTCACCAATGTCAAAACAAATGATCAAAAAAAAAATATATATATATAGTTTAGTTTTTTTTACTTTGTGATATGCTAATACTTTTGGCCAGTATATTTGTGTCACTCATTTCATGATGCAAGACATATAAATATGCACAATTAAATTCTCTTGTGGAAGGGGTTTCCTTACTATTTCATTGTTCTTACTATTGATGTATTTGGAGACATCTAGAAATGGAACATTGTATCTAGCACAAACACAAATAATAGATTTTTAAAAATTTTAATATGAATGGCAGATTAGAATTGTCATTGAAAAGCAATCAACATGGATGATATAAACCTTTTAAATACAACATTGTTTCTCTGGTGGGGAAACTGAAAGCAGAAACGATTAAAATGTATAATAGATGTTGGGAAATGGGAAGAAAATGTTCAAGTGAGAAGTGGAAGGAGAGAAGGGAAAGGAAAGAAGGGACAGGAAAGAAATAGGAAAAAATGGAAACAAAGCTTTTGTATATAAGGAGGGGAAGAAGAGTCAAGGAGCGATGGTGCTAATTAAAAATCTTGCGATTCCAAATGAGATGCTCAAGGTAGACCTTAAGGGTGAGGACATATGGCAGAGCCTGGAGCCTAACTGTGTTCCCAGAACAAGTAGGGCCATGTACATACTGAAGTACATATTAAATGATATATTTCCTGAGGATTTATGTTGCAGAGACTAGCTTTAGTATAGTTTAACTAGCATCACCTAATACTAAAATTACTTCTACATCGTCGGTCGTATTTCATTATATATTACTGAATTCAATATAACTAGTACTTTACATGAGATTTTTACATATATACGTTTATGAGATTGGCCTGCAATCTTGTACTTTTTGGGGTCTGGTTTTGGTATTGTTGATAATTTCATTAAGTGAATTGGGAAGTGTTGGCAGTTTTACTGTTTCCTGGAATAATTTGTGAAAGATTTGAATGATGTATTCCTTGAGAATTTATAAAACCACCTAGTATTTCTTTGTAGCAAGGCTTTTAACTGCTGATTTTATTTCTCTAATGGTTGTTAGAGTATTCAGTGTTTTTATTTTTTCTTTAATCAAATTTGAAAAGAAATTTTCTAAGTATTCACTCTGTACACATAAATGTACTAGCATAAAGTAGCTCAAGGGAATTTTGTAAAACATCTGCTGGATGTGTACTTACAATTCCTTTTCTCATACTGTTTTTACCCTCTTGCTTTCTTTTTCTTGACCATTTTCCAGGATTCTGTTTTAATTTTTTTAAGAGCCAACTTTTAGTTTTGTTGATTCTCTCTGCCCTTCTGCTTTCTGAGAATTTCTTCTGTTCTCTCTCTTATTTTGTAAGTTGAACATTTAATTCATTCGTGGTCTATTTTTTTCTTAAACATCTAAACATTTGCATTACTTTGCTGCAGCTCACAATTCTGAGCATACACACAAATGTATATATACACATTTTATTGTTCTTCAGCTGCTAATACTTTTACATTGATTTCTTTGACCTGTGAATTATTTTAAAATGTGATTTTTAAATGTACAAGTTTAAGGGGTTTATAAATGTTTATTTTAAAAAACAAATTTATTAATACCACCATTAGTAAAAGCTTTATATTTTGTGCATTGTAATATGAGCATTGAAGGCACATGCATTAGGTGACATTCCTGCCAAAATCCATAACCTGTCAAGAAAAAATACCAGAAAAACCCTCACTAACAGTCTATAAAATTAACAGGCCATAAGTCAAAAATGACAAATTAGAAACTGAAGAGGTACGACACCTAAATACCACCCATGATCCTGGCCCAGATAAAATTATTTTTTAAACTTTTGCTTATGGGATACCCTGGAGACACCAGTAAAATTTGAGTCAGGTCTGTAAGTTAATGAAGATTGCGTTGATGTGGGTTTCCAGATTTTGATAATGGTACTTAAGAAAATTTTAGTCCTCATTTTTTAGGAAATATACACTAGAGTATTTAACGATAATGGAACATTACGTATGCAACTGAATCTCAAGGGTTTCAGTAAAATGTGCTGGACATGGCAGAGCAAATGAGAAAGGTTAGTAACATCTGGAGAATCTGTGAATTCTGTACAGCTTTGCGAGTTTACTATAACTCTGAAATTATTCCAAATAGTTTTTTTAAATGGCTTTTCTAATCTTGTCTAAGAATGTGTGTGTGTGTGTGATACAGCAGAGGCAAATTATTATAACCATGCTTCCCTCAGCTTTGCCATCTGAAAAATGGGAATAGTGCCTACATCATATATTTTTGTGATATGAATCAATGTAATTACTTGGAACCCAACCAGCACAGTGTGTGTTTCTGTTGTTGTTGCTGTGGTGTATGTTGTAGTTGGTTGAATGATGAATCCCCGAACATTAAACCTGAACCCTGTAAATGTTACCTTACATGGAAAGGGGCTCTTTCCAGATGTGATTAAGTTAAAGGTCTCGAGATGGGGAGGTGTCTTTTTTTTCTTAACATATTACTAAGGTGTGTAGTCTTTTATTACAGTAAACAAATACAAATGGCTTTCATAGTGTTGTTTTCCAAGTCTTATTTCATGAATGATCAAAGTGGTTCAGAACTAGAATATAACTTGCAACAGGATACTTTAAACAAAGTATTAGTGGTGAAGTGTTCTAGGTCCCGCTTAAAAATAACGAAGTGTTGGGCTGGGACTTAGCTCAGTGGTTCTGCCACCTGCCTTGCAAGCACAAGGACCAGAGTTCGATCCCCGGTACAAAAAAAAAACAAAAGAAAAGAAGAAAGAAAGAAGTATCCCTAATTGTAAGGATGATTCTCTTAATTGAACAGGTATGTGGTGACTTTGTCTCTGAGAAACAGATACTTAGAGCAGATTCTCAGTGCCTAGTTTTGTCACGTCTTTACCCTTCAGGGTTTTTCTTGCTGCAAGATGTGAGGTATTGTGCAGGTACATACCCAAGTGGCCAATTTATGAAATACTTACATTAGGGAGGTGTCTTTAATAAGAAAGGTAGTGTGATTACAATCAGAAGAGAATGCTCTGACCATGGAAGCAGGAGTAATGTGGCCACCAGCCAGCAGCCACAGGAAATTTGAGGAGGCAAAGATCAGATTT